AAGACTGAGAAAAACTGGATAAATTATGTATACTGCATTGAAACAGATAAGGGAGAGAATAATTTTAAAACGATATATGATAGGGTATTATAGTTATCTCAAGAGTACAGAATTAAGGGTGCATAGTGAAGTGTATCTGGGGCGGTGGAAGGGGTGCGGGGGGATTCTATACCAAAGAAAGAATTTTTCTTTTACTTTTACAAAGAGAGGAGCAATCTGGACAGGGGCGGGGGAGACGGCTGGTCAAGGAGAAAAATGCAACAATGAATGAATGGAAATCAAAAAATCTCTGTAAATGTTCATTAAAATTATTAAAATAAAATTTTTTTTAAAAGTAGTGATTCTCAAAATTTTCTTTCAAATTTATCCAACTAGGTGCAATAAATACAAGGTAAAAATATTATATACACACAGTATGATTGTGAAAAATTTCAATTTAATTATAAAACAAGGATTTTTACCTTCAAATTATGAGCAAAATATGAGTCATATAATTTAAATATAAGATGATATCCTTGGAAAGAGTGCAGCCAGAGTGCTCTTTGGAGGCAAGGATGATGAGACTTCACTAGGGGGGGCTCTTCCTTATAGAGGGACATGGTGCTGGGAAGGGTGGAGGATCAGCAAAGGAGAGGAAGACCCTCAACCAGGTGAACTGACACAGTGACAGCCACAGTGGGCTCTTGTGTGTCAGGAAGTGTGAGGATGGTGCAGAACAGGACAAGATTCGCATCTTTTATTCACAGGGTTGCTATGAGTCGTATTCAACTTGATGGCACCTAACAACAACAACAACAACAACAGCACAAAAAGGCTCTAAAAGGTCTTAAAGGAAATGAAGTATATACTTCTCAACCACATTCCAAAAGCATTTATCAAAAATTCCTTTCTGTGGACAACCCAATTGAAAATGTGTTCAATGTGAGCTATGCTCCAAGAGTATAGCTGCAGTTTTAGTTTTCCAAAAGGAATAAATAATTTTAAGGAAATTATTAATATTATAACTATTCTTCCAATGTACCTGAAATTTGGCAATGGACATTTTTCTTCTTCTCAATAATATCTCCAAGCCCAACAGTTCTACTTAACCTCTAAACCATAATATATCATTGGCTAAAATAATAACTTTCCTGAGGCTCATATTGTTGTTGCTGTTGTTGTTATGTATCATCAAGTTGGCATAGCTCAAGTTGGCATAGCAGACCCTCCAGTGGATTTCATAGGCTGTAAATCACATGGGAAAAGACTGCCCATCCATTTACTAGTGGACTCAAAGCACCTGCCTTTGAGTTGGTAGCATAATTCTTTTCTGATAGGGCCACCTCTCTGAGACTTTAATAGACAAATTAATAATAAGTATCTGAACAAATTAATATGATCATAGACACTAAAAGAACCATAAGTCTGCCTGATGTTGCTGTAGAATTCTACAGAAGATTTTTATATTGTCAACAACTGGTATGGAAGGACTTTACCATAAGGTAGATGTAGTGTTCCAGGTTCTTACATCTGCCCAGATTTAAGTGTGTACTGATTACAGACAAATATATATAGGTAGTCCCCTGCTTAGAGATATTCAAGTTGTAAGAAACTGCATTTAAGATCCTCTATTTAGGGGTTTTTGTGCATTTTTAATACATTTTATCACGAATTGAAAGAGTATCACTTGTTACGCATCAGAGAGTTGGACAGTGACTACGGAGGATAGAAGGAAAACTGATGCCTTTGAGCTGTGGTGCTGGAGCAACAGTGTCTCTCTGGAGACTAAGGTCCGCCTGATACAGGTTTTTGCAATCACTTGTTATGCATCAGAGAGTTGGACAATGACTAGGGAGGATAGAAGGAGAACTGACGCCTTTGAGCTGTGATGCTGGAGAAGAGTATTGAGGACTGCTAGGAAAACAAACAGATTCATCCTGAAGAGGGTTAAACCAGGCGGCTCCCTGGAGGCAAGGATTCTGGGGCTCCATCTAACATACTTTGGACATGCTATAAAGAGGGACTGGTCCTTGGAGAGGGACGTCATGCTTGGGAGGGTGGAGGGACAGCGCAGGAGGGGAAGGCCCTCTAGGAGGTGGATTGATTCAGTGACTGGGGTAATCGGGATGGGTGTATCGGAGACAGTGCAATTGGCACAGGACAAAGCAGAGTTTAGGGCTGTTGTACCAAGTGCTCAAAAAGAAACTAACATACTCTAGCACCTTCCACCCAAACAACACAAAGTGTTTCATAAAAACTATGATATACTGGGTAAATGTAAGCTATAATAAAAAGGAAGAGAAACTTAATGGAAATATAACCAGACACTCCATGTTCTGTAATAAAGGCTACTAAAACCAAACACTTAAAAGCCTCAGACTATAAAATGTCCCCTCAGAAGAAATGGATTCTTAAGAAGGTGGTCTCTTGTTTATAGGTCTGACAAATTCTAATAATTTTCATATGTCTGAAAAGTACCTGTAAAACTTTAGCATTTGGTTGAAGAGGTTTAATGACCAACTGATTGCGAGCTGTGTAAAGAACCTTTTCTGAATCAGGGCCCCATGCTACTGAATACACTGGTGTTCCTACAAAACAGAAGAAGATAAAAAGATTAATGACTTTTCATTATAATACTTGATAAAAATGGAGGAAGAGAGAAAACTACACCCTGTCCAGTCAGAAGCCAGTCACAGCTGACTTCCAGCGGGTTGTCAGAGGCTGTAACTCACATGAGAAGAAACTGCCCATCTTTCTTCCACTGCAGCCGGTGGATGCCGACTGTCTTTGATTTGGCAGCTCAAACACACTAGGCTGCCAGAGCTCCCTTACATGTCCTTTATTGTTGTGTACTGCCAAATTGAAGCCAACTCACTAGCTACATCTCTATAAAACTCATCCCTTATGTGTTGTACTGCTAAATGCAAGGTTAGTGCTTCAAAGCTACCAGATGCTCTGAGAAAGACAGATGGATAGTCTTCTCCTGGAAAGAGTTACAGCTTCAGAAACCCATTGACAGGTCACTAAGAGTCACAATCTATTCTATCTCAGTAGGTTTGATTTTTCTTTTAAAATGTAATACTTTACTTTTTAACTTAATTATTTCCAGATTACCAAAGGGATCTCTAGTGATGTACTTAGTAGGGAGTTAAGTGGTGCCTCTTTAATGGTTCCAACTCACCAGTGTCTCTATGAGAGAAGGACTGGCAATCTCCTCCCTTGCTATTTATAGTGACCAAAAGCCTATTGGAGAGTCAGCTATGAGTAGGTTTGACTCAACAACAATTAATACTGTACTAGATTACTATGTTCTGAACTTAACATTAGCCTAATTTCTAAAAACAATAGATATTATAGCTACAACAGACAATAATTACAAGGTAGTAAATCATATGTATTCCACTCCTCAGTCCAGCTATATACTCATTAGAAAAGTGAAACAATATTCTAATCTATGAAATATTACACATTAAACAAACCATACACACAAAACTTTCAAAAATTGTCTAGAATCACTGAGTCAGATGATTACACAACTGATTTTCCATGACTGAATTAGTAGGTGTATGGATGAAATAAATCATTCTAGAATTTACATTCTCAATAAATGTGGTTTTAATTTGACAATAGGATGTGGTCATTTACTTAGGTAGAAAATCCAACTTGTGTTATAATCCATAGAGAGAATTTCAGTAAAGAAACTGCATTTCTTCAATTTCCAGCCTGTATTTCACACTATTTTCATCCTAACCAAAGATAATTTAAGTGTTAACAAGCCCCAGTGAGTGTTATCTGTTGTTGTTATGTGCCATCGAGTTGTTTGCGACTCATAGCGACCCTATGTACAACAGCCCTAAACCCTGCTCTATCCTGTGCCAATCGCACTGCCTCTGACACACCCATCC